CCTATTTTTGGTTTTCTATATTCTTGATTCTACTTGATGTTGCACTTTTCTATTACCTCTTGTGTGAAGTAATCAGGGACTGAAGTAAATTGTTCCTCGGCATAATAATTGGTTGACTATTAGATGAAGATATTAGTATTCCATGTAATATATTTTGAGGTATACGTATCTTTTCATTCAATCAAGGATTTAAACTCATTTGTCTAATCTTGAACTGTTATGCTGTTTTAGAGCACCAGTTTGAATTCCCTACTTATATTTAACATCGACTGCAGTTGCCACTAACCGTGAAGGCGCCTCTAAATTGGGTGAAGGTAAATAGTACCAAAAAAACAACTCGCTATCACCCTCCTGAGGTTTTGATGGCTTTGGACCAGTTATCCTTGGCCAAAGAGGAGCTTACTCTTGTTTGCCAAGCTGCTTGGGAGGGTTTCTTGAAGGCCTTTGGTGGATATTATGCTGAGTTCCAAGAGGCTGTCCACGCTCTAGCTGCCTTGGATTGCCTGCATTCACTTTCCATTCTTTCGAGGAATAAGGTTTGCTATTGGATACTATTTTGAAGTGCTCATAATCTTTTAAAATTTTTGATGTTTGTAACCTTCTCAACCTGTCTGCTGCAGAATTATGTTCGTCCAGTTTTTGTCAATGATAATGAGCCAGTTCAGATACAGATATCTTCTGGCCGTCATCCTGTACGTACTTTTGATTGTTTTGCATTACATGTTGAACTCAGTTTGGAGAATCCTGATTTTCTCTATGATCTGTATAGTCTATGAACTTGAGCTTATGGAATTCTTTGCCTATGTTCCATTTGATATCTGTTCTGCTTTGCTTGCAGCTAGTCAGATTTAACAGCACTGCCTCACTATGTTGCTCAATCATCTTATAGCCCGTGATTCTTTTTTAATTTCATTAGATTTTTGTGTTTATCACCGTCCTTTTTTGCACTTTGGTATGTGCAGTGTTTTGTCAGCTCTTCTGAAATAACAGAGTTGTCATTCCTTCTTCATCTTCTTCTTTTTTTGTTTGCACGCACATTTTGCAAATATTTTTTGCTCCTTCCTGTTTTATCAATCATTTATTATTGATTAATCCATTTTGTTTCTTTGTCTCAATATATTTGCGTCATAGATATCCTTAATACATGATATGATTCATAGTCTCACACTTGCTTACTTTAATCTATAAAATATAATATTATAGTGTCTTCCAATTCTACCAGGTTATGGAGACCGTATTACAAGATAATTTTGTCCCAAATGATACAAATTTGCATGCTGAAGGAGAGTACTGTCAAATTATTACTGGACCAAACATGGGTGGAAAAAGCTGCTATATTCGCCAAGTTGCTCTGATTGCTATCATGGCTCAGGTAGAAGCAACTTTCAGTACTTTATTAATTTCCATGGTTCTTTTTTGCCAAGTAACAAGCTGGTTTTCCAAATCATTGCCATTCATGAAGTATTTTTCAAGCTTTAATTCTGATCTTTCTGGTCAAGAAGTTTAATTTAAGACATTATGGGGCTTGTTTCAACTTGGTAACGCATGAGATATGGGTGTTGGAGGCACAAGAATTATGTTGCTGTTTAGTTCTATATTCTGTGACTTGACTGCTGGGTAAAGTGTATTTGCTGTAGGTCATAGTCTATTTTCTTTTTCTGGAGACACCCACTTTACAAATTGTACACTCGGATGAAATGATGATTATAGTTTTTCCTTTACATTCCCTTGAATGTTAATAACTTATCCGCTATTAAACTTTGAAGAATCAAAGAAACTCCAACTCTCTATTACAAATTGAAGATTTGTTTTGCTGAATCTCGTGGTGATAAAGAGAACTTTAACATTACTGCTTTAACCAAAATTCGCTCTCATCCTCATAGGTCGGTTCCTTTGTACCAGCACTATCTGCAAAGCTGCATGTGGTAGATAGTATTTATACTCGAATAGGAGCTTCTGACAGTATTCAACGAGGAAGAAGTACCTTTTTGGAAGAACTGAGTGAAGCTTCTCTCATACTGCGGAATTGCACAACCCGCTCGCTGGTTATTATCGATGAGCTTGGCAGAGGGACAAGTACGCATGATGGTGTAGCCATTGCCTATGCTACACTGCAATATCTTCTTGAGAATCTAAGATGTATGGTCCTATTTGTCACCCATTACCCTAAGATAGCTGATATCAAGAATGAATTTCCAGACTCCGTGGCAGCATATCATGTTTCATATCTGACTTCGCAGAAAGATGATCAACTGGGTTTAGACTCTAACTTGACTATGGATGGCATGAATCAAGAACATATCACTTACCTTTACAAACTTGTGCCTGGTGTTTCAGAAAGGAGCTTTGGCTTCAAGGTAGCTCAGCTTGCAGAGGTTAGTGGGTTGCCAGATCGGTGAATAACACTTAGAACTGACTTTTCAGTGGCAGAATTTGGTACTAAGATTATAAAAATTTTATAGTCAATACTGAAACGTCTGGAAAGATGTTTTTCCTTTTGTTGCTTGTCAATAGTTGTTGCATATCTTGTTTGGCAAAGGGACACAAAGAGCAAAGTCGTTGGTAGTATAATCTTCTTGTTCCTCTCTTTTCAATAAGCCATACCGGCTGAATGCTGGGGTTGGTTTAGATCCTTAACATATTCTCATGTAAGAATAATTGCCGTGCCATTTTTCTATTGCAGCTGCCATCGTCCTGTATTGGACGAGCCATTGAAATGGCTACAGGATTGGAAGCAGCAGTATGCAACAGAGAGAGAGAAAGGCTGGTGATGAAATGTGCCACAGAAAGTGAACTGAATTTAAGCGATAAAGCAAAGGCGAGAGAAGATGAAGAAAGAGAAGAGAGTATCTTGAATCCTGTTGATTCCTTGGATACTGGAAAGATCGAAAGCTTAAGAGTATTTTGCGATGCTTGGAGGGAGTTCTTTCCATACTTGAACCTTGCAGTTTCAGGAGAAAGTGATGATGCAGAAAGGTTCCAAATTTTGAACCTTGCGAAAAGACTTGCACTTGAGTTGATAAACAGATGAATGTGTACCGAAGTTATTGTTTTGCGAGTTATCTATTGTTTAATCCGCAATAGTCTTTGCAATTGCGTTTGCCTCGAATCCTTGCTTGGGTGCTGTCCGTTGTCTTTTAATTCCCCATGTAACTGATGAGTTATTTCTGCATTCTGGCCCAGTTAAAAGAGGATTTCTATGGTGTGAGAGCCTAAATCTACGCTCTTTCGTCTTAAACTCTTACACCCAGATACCAGATTCAAGGCTGATGGTACAAGGCACTGGTCCATGAAGGGTGCGGAATAATTTGTCTTAAAAACATAAAAAGTAAAACTAGTCTTAGTTTAATACAAGTTTGAGAGAATTATGGTTTGGTCCCAAATGTTTGGAGCATGTGTGATTTTAGTTCTTAAAGTTTGGATAAAAGCAAATGTAGTTCTAAATGTTTTTAATATCTAAGCACATTTTAGTTCAATTGACTAATTTTTGCCAATTGAACTACATAATTTTATTATTTCTAAAATGAAAAAAAAAGAAGAGAAAGCATTCACTTTTATTGTTGAATTTTGGGAAAGGATTTCAGTTTTAAACTAAACATAATTACATTAGGCTTGTTTATCAATCAGACATACAAACCTCCTCGAGAATAAGTTAATCCATCCATAGAACTTCAAATTTATATTTAATTATGAGAAAAAGATGAAGGGAATGGGCCTGATTTAACTCCAACTTAGCACTAGCTTCAGGGAATGGGCCTGATTTAACTCCAACTTCGCACTAGCTTCTGCAGAAACTAGTTAGTTGCTAACTGCTCCTCCCTCTATGACATGACATACCGCCCCTGGTCGACATCTACCATAACACTACCAAATGGAATATAAATTCGAACCCATTCTGCATATAGCTGACGACAATTGACAAACAGCCGAAAAACGACGGTGTAAGGGCGATCAAGCGTGTTAACGGCGATTGAGGAGTGAAGGGGACTGGGCCTTTTCCTTCTTCCTTTGGAACCATCAAACTCCTATTGATTCCACGGCATTGGTGACTGGTGAGCGTGTCCTGCGCGTTGTATTTGATTCGAATTATATGAAATAGTATATCTGAAATAAATTGCGTGGATCCATGATTACTTGTCTAAAGCCCATTGTCTTGTCTGCTTATCTAAAGAGAGAGAGCTCGACAACCCCATTGGGAGTCTCCTTAAGTCTAATTTTTCTCTTGTTTCTTGATGAGGGACTAGGAAAACACGTGAAGAGATGAATGGCTAAAACCAAGTTCTAATGATTCTGGTATTTCTTTAACTTCTAGATGTTACTAGTACATATTATGAGGCTATTTGGGCTTGCTTCCCCGGTGTTTTGCTTCTACTGTAATTTGATGATGGTTGATGTTTCTTGTTGTCTGCGAAAGGACTTCTTGAAGCATGATAAATTTTTTTTTTTTAAATCACATTGCTTTTAATTCTTGTCAGATTTTGGATTTCTTGTACTGTGATTGTATTATCTACTATTGTCTCATTTCTTTTTTGATGCAATCTAGATGATAATTTTGGTTAATTCCCATGTGATTGATTGCTCTACCCTTCCCCCACCCAAAATAGAAAATGATTGTGATGATTGTTCAGTTGGACTTAAGGCAGTGATGCATACTTCCTGTCCACAAAATTGCAGGTCCGGCCAAATGATCTGCGCTTTTGTAGCCGACAAATAGAGCAAATTGAACTTAGCGCTGAGTGATTAAAACGAGCTGATTCTGAAATTCGCTTTTTTCCCAAAGGGCAATTTCGGCTAAATTTTACAATCTAAAGATGATCTGAGATGATCAGGAATTTGAAGAGGATCCAGACCAAGATTTAGAGGATCATTTGAGTGCATAGACAACATTCAAGCGTAACCACAAAAAACTAATTACAAAAATGAGTCAATCAGCTCCTCCATATATGCACAGAGCTTTGATAAATCAGAAAGAAACAAGGTGGGCTCACGTAATCCAATAGAAATGGCTTCCATACTACAATATAACTCTCTCTCTTTTATACCTGAACATTGTCATAGAGTTCGAACAATGGAACTGCAAGAAGTTTCAAGTTCTTTGGAACAGCAAAATACTCTCTTTCGGAAAGGTGAACAAGGAAAAGCTTTTTACATTCCTGCAAAGCCAGGAATAGGTAAGCAAAATGATCACTGCAAACAAAAGACTAAGGCATAGATTAAGGAAACATGTTGGCTAAACCAACTTACCTTAGGTTTTGTTATGTGGGGAGGGCAGTATGGATACATTATTGTTTCAAAATTCGGTCTCCACCATATGGCCACACATTCACCAATCTGAAATGAAATGTTGCACATGAAGTAGGCAAATCATTCAAAAAAAAGTAAATAAGTACAAAGAAAGGTGAAGAAAAAAAAAAATCAAATCTCTATCGAGTAATGAGAGATTTGAAGTGTCAAAATACTAAACTGTGGCTTGAGTCTATATTCTTCTTTTACATACTTTTTTTTCCTCATCTCTGGGCAACCTCTCATGCAAATTTGGCAGTGTTTCCCACACACACTGTTCTTGAACAATATACTAATTTAAAGATTTAAGGACAGCCTCACAATCAAGTAGGTCAAGAACAAAAAGGGAAAGTGAAGGAACAAATACCTGCCAATCTGGCTGAAGAGCTGCTGAATTAGCAGCAAGTTTGCTCGACAGTTTCCGCTTCAAGCCCTCGATTTCTGCAATTTTAACAATAAGCATGAATGAAGTTTCAATAGTCCTCTATGGCATGTCCATTTCAGAATATTGTCCATCATCTCTAAGAGTTGGACTTGCATCGCACATTAACAAGTTCTTCAAGTTCAATAAAGTAACAATTAATGGTACTGTTCAGATCCAACGGGGGTGCTTCTAGGACTTTAGCTCAAATTTCAAAACCATTCGAATAGACAAGTAGAAGGTCTATCATCATGCTCAGAGTGACAAAATTGCTATAATAAATAATATAGACAGATAAAAAACAATCATTTTAATAATACTACCATATCGGTTATACAATTTTTTGGGGGTACATTACAGGATTAAAGGCCCATTAATTATCATTATATACTTGAAAAAAAAAGGAGGAAGAAGAAGCTAAAGGCTAATACCATTCTCTCCAGGCTTCAGCCGCCCACCAGGAAGTTTGCAGAAAGTATTACCAATTTGAAGAAGAAGAATGTGTGGATGATTGTGCTCTTGTACCTGTTAGTCACAGCCATCAAAAGCTATTATTTAACATAACAATATGGTTTACCTATCAAAAATAACTACTAATTCATAGGGATTCTCATCATTAAAGTACAAAAAAATGGGCACAACAAATCAGACCAACTATTCGCTGGCATCGAAAGTCAGTAAAAGCACCACAGGTTGTAATAATGTCAAACTTTTACCCAGAATATCAATCATGCTATGCAATAAAGACAACACCAACCACTACTTCATACAGCATGAGTTCTTTTTTTTTTTTGGCTTTGGTTTTTTTTCCCTTTTTTTTTTCCCCGGGGGGGGGGGGGGGAGGGGAGGGAGGGTTGGAGGGTTTGTTTACGAGTTTCAAATAAAAAAAAGATACATAAACAAGTTATTGGACGGTAAACGTTTTACATGCATTGAATTCAGCAGAAAAGGAGCATTATAGTTAGTTCACAGAGGAGCACATTCAACTTGAAGAGTCAAGGAATGGAATTTGTTTGACAAAAAACAGAGAGAGTGGTGAAGCAGGTCAAAGAACCTAGGGCAGCAATATTTTTGACGCAATCATACACAGCATGATACTAGAAGAAGCAGGTCAACAGATTACCACAAAGAGTGCAACATGAAAAAAGCAACTTAGGATATTAAATTCACGGGTTAGTACTAGGTTACAAATAAATTCATGCTCAAATCATATTAATTTCCATGCTATTTACATGTCTGGGTCAAAATTAAATTCAAACTTCCTAACAGTCAAACGAAAAGCTGTTTACCCGAACATATGTATTTGAAACTCATCTATAGAGAACTCGGGACCCGACCCTCTCAGGGAAAACCTAGAATGGGAAACCTCTCTTTCTCATATGATTATCCATATTATCCGATACATTTGCAAGCAAAAAGCTTAGCTATAGTAATCAGCATCAAAGATTTGCTCAGTTCCTTGCAAATTGAGTAAAGCGGCAACCATATATAACCAGAAAAGGGGAGAATTAAAAAGGCAGTACGAGTAAAAATGTTTACCAGTAAAATTCCTTCTACGCTAGTCCTCATGCCCTCCTTCATATAACTGCACCAGGAAAAAGGGAAGAAAGTAAGATGCTGGTACGTGATCTAGGGTTTTAGACTGCATAAATAAGAATTAAGCTAAGACGAGGTTTAACTAGGGTTTTTCTTTGATAAATCGCATGAATCAAACAAAAAACAAAGGAAACGTACAAAATGGATCGGAGAAATCAGAAAGAGAGAGCAGAGACGTACTTGACTTTCATGCGAGCAAGGCGATCGGCAACGGAGGTGTCTTTCTCCATCTTCGGCTCCTTTGTCCCGAAGGTGTAACTAGACAGCGGGTACGTGTTCACCACCGATGACGTCACCATTTTCTCTCGATCTCCCTCTATCTCTCTCTCTCCCGTCCCCCGGCTGACAGCCCTTGCCCTGCTTTTTCCTCTTCTCTTTTGGCTCTGCAGAGATTATAACAAGTCCACTTCTACTGCTTAGGACATATCACAAAATCTTTTCCCTCTCCGGAATTTGCAGGCGGTGTCTTGTCGAAGCATCTCAAAGTGTTTTGTGTGTTTTCACCAAAAAAAAAAGTGTTTTGTGTCTTGGGCTTTGGGTTGGATGTCGGACCAGAATTATAATGGCCGCTTTAGTCATAACTTGGGTCCCAATACCTAAGAGGGCCTAAGCCAGACCCAGGTGGATATCATTGGCCCATACATGGGGGTTTTTTTATTTTTAAATTCTTTTTTTTTCCCTTTTTTTTTTTGGTGCGCTCTTGGACATTCTCAGGTTTTGGCTTTCATTTATGGATATGATAAAATTGCACTTGCCATAAATCCCCTTCCTTCTCTTGCCATAAAATTGCACTTGCCATTGGGAGGATCAGACCAAGGACTTCTATTGACTGCTCCACGAGATAAATCACTTTTCCTTTTTTCTTTTTTATTTTTTTTTATTTTACGGCGATCAAAATCTCTATATTATGGGGAAGGGTGCTAAAAGCCCACAAAAGCCGATTATGAGAATTGCATGTCTCCTTCTAAAACATTATCGATACTATAAATGGAGGAACACGGGTAAACAAGACCTCTAAACTTGGCATATAGTAGCCGACGTGAGCAACTTTTTGAATCAATTTTTGCTCTCAAGATACAACTAGTGGATGTAGAACATCATTCCTTTTTCAAGTTTCATGATACCTTTAAAAAATAAAAAAAAAATAAAAGAGAGTTTCATGATATTTGACAGTGAATAGCTTTACCACACGTTGTAGGATAAGGTGATGGATAAGGGTGCATGGAAAGTGAGGAATGTAGGGTTTTAATGTAGAGGTTAAGCTCATAATATGTAGTACATCCTAAAATCACGACATTCTACTGCAAACAAAGGTGGTGCTTGGTTTATAGATACATCCAAGTCACTGGTTCTTGAACTTATAATAGTTTAGCATATCAGTATCTAAAACATTTTATAGAAAAAAAAAAAAAAAAAAAAACTGTGAAAACCTGGGTTTCAGACTGATTATTGAAACTCGACGGAACAACAAAAATCCATACAGATGGTGAAGTTTATACCATTTCCATTACAATTCCAATTCCTGAATTCCAACCAAACACCTGTGGATTTTTCTCTTAGTGATTATGATATAAAATACGTTGCATGTCATTTGGAATAGTGAAGCTAGCTAATTCAATATCACTAGTAGTCGTGCTCATAATGAAAAAAAATTTGTAGTCTAATTCTATTGTTAATTTGCATTGCCATACAATGAATTAAGGATAATCCTTAAGATTAATCTTTCCACAAGGAAACTTATAATTCTACGGATAATGCTTAGAATTAATCTTAAGACATCTCTACATATAAAAGCATGAGAACTTTTTGGTACTAAAAATTTCTGTCATGTAATAAACTGTTTAATATACCCTTCTTCTTTTAAACGTTTATAATCCACTTCCTCTTCTGTCTCTTACTTACTCTTATTTCTTTCTCTCAATGATATTTAGTAATATAACTTTCTTCAAACTATCGTTAACTCGTGAAAATCATACAATATTTCAAAAAAAAAAAAGGTAAGTTGCAGAAATTTTTTGCCCATGTGTTCCTCTAGTTAATTTAGTATTATTTGTCTTTGCAAAAATTTATTTATTCGTTATTTACTTCTACAATATGCATACACATAATGTGCGTCTTATCTACTGGTACTAATTAATTCTTGGATGCCTCTTTTATATCCTTTGAGATAAGGCTGGCATGCCTCTTTTATAGCCCCCGGGCAGATCGACTGGTTTCTGTAGTCCCCTCTTTAGGGGCAGGTCACTGGTTCGACCCTCGGGAGAACTAACACGCTGTGAACCTTGGGGCGGGGCTCTCACAGCCGCAGGGGATTAGTCGGGTCCAATGGTTTCGAACACTCCTGTGTCAACAAAAAAAAAAAAAAAGGAGATAAGGCTAGCATGCGCACAATTTCAAATTTTGGAAGAGGATTTCTCTTTCGTTCCATGGAAAAGAAAATCCACGCTGCCCTTCGATTGACTAAGTGTATCCGTAATATGATTTTATAACAAATTTCCTATTCGGAATCCTCGACAACACACACAGACGTACTCTCATAACATTTTTACGCAAGAGACACTCGAATTCGAATGGTAAAGAAAAGCTGAGTGGAGAGTCTGGAGGGTAAAGGGCCAAATAGTTTTCGGATCAAAAAATATGAGTGTTAGTCCTAATCGAATTGAGCACTTTTTCTTTTTTACTTTTTTAATTTAACGAGTTTGAAATTGTGCATAAACTCGGTTTATTTATTTTTTAAACCTAATTTAAATAAATTTTGATCAAGTGGAGATTAAGTCAAGCTCATATAATTTGAATTTTACTATTCCATACTCAAATTTGACTATGTAACTGCTTGGGCTAGAGTCAAGAGAGCATCAAAATTTCGATGGAAACAATTCCATGTTTTTTTTTTTTGGATAATAAATGGTCGCATCTTTAGTGCCAGCAATTAATGTGCTCTTCTGCAGTGGTTATCTATTTTTTCCACATTGTTTACTTTTTGAGAAGCCTATCTTTCTCCTTGAACCTGAAGTAACCGAAGAAAATGCTAAACAGGAAAGAATAAGTCAGTTGTTTCTCTCGTTAGTCGTTAACCTTATAAACTGAGTATAATTAATCCTACTAAAGCGCTCATTTGTATATATGTTCATACATATCAATGTGCTTGTTACATTTAACATACTTCTGCTTTCTCAAACATCAGAATTACCTTTAGAACCAAAAATCATACTTCTGCTTTCTCAAACATCAGAGTTACCTTTAGGACAAAAAATCATATGATTAAATTCCACATTATTCTTGTCCTTGAGATTTTTATTTTTTTTTTTCAGATAGCAACAGATAGTCTAGTTTACTCCTACTTCTACTCTAACCTACATAGGGGTGAAGAGATCTAATAGGACTAGAGAAACTGACGAGAACTGAATCACTATCGAAGTTGATGAGTGCCCTATGAACTTGTATGGATTTAAATGAAATCACATATAGTAGTATATTGATGAGAGGTGAACCCTTAATCTCTTACCCCCATAAAGATTTAAAGTCTATGGTGGTGGCCAATCGCCAAAAGGCCGTTGGTTATGATGCTGTTAATGTATTCGAAAAAATCACCTAAGCCATGTACATTGTAGTATTTCTTTTTTACCAGCCACATCGCATAAAAAGTCGTAGACATAATATTATTGTTTGAAGGAAAATATTTCTAGCGGGTATTTTATGAAGCCAGAATTAATAAAATGGATCCTAGTCCACTATAACCACTCAGTGAAAAGAAGGCAACAATTGCATCAAATTCTGTGCAGACTCCCGTTAGCTGGCACGCTTGTCACCGTAATGCTGCTGAAATTTGGGGAGATTTTTTCATTTCAATGAGCAAGCGTACGTAGAGCTTCTTGTGGGATTGTGCTAATTAATGTGCATGAAACTTACACCGGGCGGGAGGGAGGTTTCACTGTAAGTTGGAAGCATTTGTTTGGATCAAAGTATGGATCACCGTATATTGCTAATAAAGAATCAGGTATGGAGTCTGGATCAATATTGTTGTCAAGTATATTGGTAGAAGGAAATGAGCACGTAAAATACATCAAGAATTAAGACTGTATATTCAGCATAAAAATCATCACGAAGACAATAGCACGATATACCCCTCAAGATTTGCTGAGTTTGATGTAAATATTCTACTACAAAAAAACATCGTGTGAGAAGTAATTAGCGGACGTTAGAAACACGAGTCAATTCGTAGGAGTGATACTCTATAAGAAGAATCACCTTATTATTGGCTTATTCTTCTTCTGCTACCGCTAAAAACTTGCAGGACCCCGTCTGAGCCGCCGGCGACGAGTGTGCATTGGTCTTCTCCCATTTGCCTCCAGCATACGCTGCTCACAAACCCTGCACCTGTAGGCTCGCAATATTCCCCCCCGGAATATTCAGCTCGACCTGGAGCCGGAGCTCCAGCAGAGGATGGCTCGAATCTCTTGACCCAAACAGGCGAGCCCCATCTCTTATCGTAGACAACAACTTGATTGTCCTCGGAGCCACAGCTAAGCAGCCCGCCGCCCCTCCAAACGGATAACCGACGAATCTCCTGGCGTTGACGTGTCCCGTGTACGTCCGAATAAGCCGATGATCTGCAGTGTGCCACGTCTTCAAGCACCCATCAATGCCGGCTGTCACCATTGTGTGGCGATCCAGGAATCTGATGTAGGTCACGGATCTCTGATGCCCGTCTAAAACCAGGACCGGGTCCCCCATCCTCCTCACATCGTAACCGTACACCTTCGGTCAGCACATCCTGCGGCGACCAGGCAGCCACGAATGGATTGAATTCCACGCAACACACTGGGCTCCCCCCGCGCTGGGCTGCACCACCCCCAAGCACTCCCCTCCCTCGCACCGTGGGTCCCACACCTGCATGGTGCCATCGTCCGACCCTGACGCACCCACCACTGGATCAGAGGGGGAGTAGTCCATGCTCCATACCCGCCTGCCCCCATGTTCGTCCCGCTCGAACACCGGCAACCTTCTCTCCAGGTCATACTCCATTACTACCCCGTCGTAGTCCGCCGACCCCAGCACACCTCCGCCCGACCCCGGTTTCCACCGGAGGCTGCTAAGCTTAGCCGGGGTACAAATGTAGAAGTCCCATGCATTGGCGTGGTCTAGCGCGGCCGTCGCAACTTGTTCATACGACGAACTTAATCCTTCGTGGGGCAACAAAGACGCGGTGCGGTATATACGAATTTTTCTTGAGATGCCGCCGGTGGCCAATAACGATCACAAGGGTCAAATAGATTGGTGATGTTGACTACTGCAGTTAGTAAGTCATCTTCAAATAATTAGAAAGAAGATGGTTGACCATTTTCCCAGGAAAACTACCTATACTCAAATTAGAATTAAAGACTTTTAAAAGAAGCATGAAATCTTTTTAGACTCAACGGTTTATAATATCTAGTAAAACATATTGATCATACTTTTTGTTGGTTCTTTAACACATAC